AGGGCTAGAAGCTCAGAAATAAAAGGATAAGCCAAACCCGTGTAATACTTCCCATACGCACAGACTAACGAGGAGTCTTCAACAAAGCCCACAAACCCTGTGCTACCGCCAAAATCTTTCCGAAACGCCCCATCAAACCTCACCAGGACCCCCCCGAGAGGGCTGGAGACCGGAGGAGGCGGCCTGCCCTGGTGCCGACCTGCAGGGAGATTATTACCTTGATTCCCCGTTGCCTCCTACCACTCTCTGACCTGAGCAGAGAATTGATGATGTAGCACAGAGGGTAAGTACTGGACGTGCTCATAGGTGGTCCAGCACCTACCTTTCCACAACCGACATGAGAGGAAAGCAATCTCCGCCAGCTGCACTTTAGAAAGATGAAAGGCAAAGAAGATTTGCTGCCAAGCCTCATCTGGGGAAAGAAGACAAACAGCCTGGCGAATCATATCCATCCCGGCGAGGTCCCAAACGTCACATGCTATCCTGCAATTGAAAAAACAATAGGATACAGATTCAGTAGCCTCCGAGCACACAGGACAAGTATCATCAGTGCATAAAGTTTTCTGCTTTAGCACAGCCCGCAGCGGAAGAAACCCGCGTACAAGCCTCCACAAAAAGAACTTCAGTTTCGGAGGAATGGGGAGATTCCACAAGAGCTTCCAAAACTTTGTATCAAAATGCGGAGAGACAGGTGCAAAGGCTGCCGATCGAGACGCCGCCAAGACTTGGTAGCCCGATTTGACAGTGTAGAGTCCGGTTGAAGAATAGTGCCAAATTAACCTGTCCGACAGGGGAGAGGATGGCAACGGGATGGTAAGGATCCACTTTATACTGTCAATGTGGAACAGGTTGTGGAGAAGGCCAAGATCCCAAGTTCTTGTCATCGGATGTATAAGGGATGCCACATAGGGGTTCGGAAGAGTAACACCATCAAGCAGCTTCGGGGAGGACGGCGGTGATGAGGGTAACCAAGGATCCTGAAGGATGTCGATGGCTGTCCCACATCCAACCTACCACCGAAGACCTTTAGCTAGCAATGTCCGTCCTTCGAGAATACCTTGCCAAGCCCAGGAAGGCCGATTACCAATTGGTGCTTTAAGAAAGGACGTATTGTGATGGTACCTGGCTTTATATATGCGAGCCAAGATGGAGGAGGGATCCTGAGCTTCCACGCCTGTTTGGCAAGCATAGCGACATTAAACAAATCAAAATCTTTGAAGCCAAGTCCTCTTTCAAATTTACTCGTACAGACAGCCGGCCAAGATATCCAGGGAATCCCCTTCTCTTTGTCTTGCCCCGCCCACCAGAATCGAGACACCTGGCTATTCAATCGCCGACAACTTGTGGAGGGCAGCCTGAAAGATAACATCGTATACACCGGAGTAGCCGACGCGACCGCCTTTATCATCACTTCTTTAGCTGCTAAAGACAAGGCCTTGGACTTCCAGCTTCGGATCCGACCTGCAAGGGCATCTTCCACATACTGAAAATGTAAGTACCTTTGACCTTTGGACTTGTGACGGTAGCCCGAGGTATTTGTCGAGGGGACCCACGGTCGAGATCCCCAGCTGGGCAGCCAACAAAGAAGCTTCCTGAGCAGAGACATTCGAGCTGAAGTAAACTGAGGATTTGGAGAGATTAACCTTTGCTCCACTTGATTGTTCATAAAGCTGGAGAAGGTGAAGGAGGGAAGAGCACTCTATGGAGGAAGCCCGCAAGAAAAGATATGAATCATCGCAAATAGTAAGTGTGAGACCGTAGGCGCCTGACGGTGGACCTTCAACCCATGAAGCTGATTCGAAGATAATGCACCAGCAATCATAGCGGAAAAGGCTTCCGTGTATATGGAAAACAACAGGGGAGTCAAGGGATCTCCTTGCCGAATGCCCGCTGGGGGCGTAAGTAGCCATGCTCCGTACCATTCAGAATCAGTGAGAAAGAAATCGAGGTCACACAGGCTTTCATCCACTTAATCCACTGCCTATCAAAACCCAACGCTTCCATTACTGCAAACAGGAACCCCCATTCAACTCGATCATACGCTTTCTCCATATCGAGCTTCATAGCCATCCATTTATCTCGCCCCTGAGTTTTTGTCTTGAGGAACTGCATGACCTCTTGAGCTATAAGGATATTGTCCGAAATGTCCCTGCCTTTAACAAAGCCATTCTGAGCCTCACTGATTACAGTCGGCAATATTTGGTTCAACCGACCTGCCAAAACCTTTGCGATGACCTTGTAGAATACCTGACACAATCTAATAGGCCGCATCTGCTTCATAAGCTCCGCATTTGGCACCTTAGGGATAAAAGTGATAAGGGTGTGGTTAAAATGATGCAGCAGACAACCTGATCTGAAGAAAGACTGTGCTACTGCCAACACTAAGGGCCCGATTATGTCCCAAAAAGAATGGAAAAAGGCGTTGTATACCCATCAGAGCCCGGCGCTTGATTCGGGCCAATGCTGAAAACCGCCTTTTTGATTTCTTCACACGAGACTTGTCCGAGATAAACAGATTTTGAGCATCGGAGACCTTGCGGGGGAGTCCAAGAGCATTGACAAGGAAATGGGGAGAGTTCCCAGTCGACAAGAACAATTGCTGATAGAAAGAGACAGCAAGTGAACCCTTGGCAGCTTCCTCGAAATGGACACCTCCATTCTCATCTCTAAGCACTTCAATCCGGTTCTGTCTTCTATTTTGGCGGACTTTAGCATGAAAGAAGCTTGTATTAGTCTCCGCTTTTTGCAGCCAGCCAACTCGAGACTTCTGTCTCCAGTATGCTTCCTCTTGACAATAAGCCCCGGAGAGCTGAACTTCCAAGTTTTTGACGGTCTCCCAATCAACCACATCCTGTTCCCTTTCAGATTCAATAGAAGCTCTGATCTCGCGTATCTGGCGGGCCGAGTTCGTAGTTCCCTTCCTCGCTTAAGCCACATACTGATGCCGAGCAGCTTTAAGCGTTGAGAATAACCGGAATTGCGGAGTGCCTGCATAGGCAACCTGTCATTCTTGGGCAGCAATCTGCCTTGCTTCCTCATTCGAACACCACCGCCGATCAAAGTGGAACCGGGGCTTGCCTTTCTCGGCTCCAGGGACAAATTGAAGCAGCAACATTCGGTGGTCCGGGCCGAGATCAGTTAGATGATTCACCTGCATAGAAGGCCAAACATCCAGCAAACTCTCGTTAGCAAGGCCACGATCAAGTCCAAGATATGAGTACTCAACCCCTGCCGATTAGACCAAGTAAAGGGAGAACCCTTAAAGCCTAAATCGATGAGCCCCAAAGAATCGAGAAAGGATCGGAACTGTTCCATCGCAGCAAAAAAAGGGGAGACGCCCTCCCTGTTTCTCTGAGGCAAAAAGAATGCAGTTGAAGTCCCCTATAACAACAATTGGAGAAGCACACGACAAAATCAAAGACAAGATTTCATTAAACTGATAAGACCTTAGCTGTACATCATAGTGAAGATGAACAAAGATAAAAGATATAACCCCCCATACTACATGCTGACATTCAACAAACAGATAAGAAGATGACTCTCTTACGACACGACATAGCACATTGGAATAGCAGGCAACTGCTCAGCCCCCCGATCGACCAACAGCAGACACACAATGCACGAAAGGGAAACCTAGACGCATAAGCTTTCTATTTACAAAGTCATCATCTCTCTTGGTTTCGCTAAGGAAGAGGACTGCAGGTGAGAAACGATGTGTGACTCCAACCAAAGAAGGAACCGTAAGGGTAGAGCCTAGACCCCTACAGTTCCAAACCAATATACTCATTTGGGCGACTGGGCCCAGTTCTGGCTGGTAGCCACCACCATTGCTCGAGAGTCTGCATCTGTGTCGATTGCCATGTCTTCCTGCCGGAGTCGTTTGGAAGCAGGGGAAGCCATCTGGGGGTCTTTCACTTGATCCCTCGTCCTTTGTTTGGTCATGGAGGTCTGCCCAGGTCCATGCAGGAGGTGGGGGTGCTGAGCCGACGAGTCACCTTCCTCCTTGCGAACCCAGGTGTACAGCTTCTTGCGGAGAAGAGTCTTCTCATTGACCTTGGGACCCTTGAACTGGGCCAAAATGTGCCTCCCATACACAGGATCTGCACCAGCAAGCTCCTCCCGTCGTGGACACGTCTGGCCGATGTGCCCCAAGATGCCGCAAAGAAAGCAAAATTGCGGCAGCCGCTCGTACTTTACCACAGCTTCTAACTCACCACGCCCAACCTTCTCGTGGGAAGCAGGCACCGAGAGGGGAAGGGGGAAACGTCCGTCAATCCCGACCTAAGCTCGAAGGTAGATCTCCCCCGTCTCCGGAATGCGATGCACTGATGGTGAGGAAGTTCTCCCCGAGGCCTGGCGCAGGAGGATGGCTATCTTCCTGGTGCAGCAATCAATTGGAACACCCCAGAAATGAAGCCCTAGAGGGACACGCCATAACTGCTCAGAGACTTCATGTGTAACTGCCACCCAGGGAACGAGGTTCACCAGAAACTTGGGAAGGTACCAAGGGGACTTCTTGCAGATTCGATCTCGGTCCTCAACAGAGGGGAAAACAAATTGCAGCAAGCCATCACTCACCGAGCTGATCGACATCGCGCCGTGGCACCGCCAAAAACGACCCTGTTCACAGCGGCCATGGGGGGGAAATGTATTGCCGGGACAAGGGTTTCTCCACAATCGAACAAGAGAATGAGGCGCAACAACGCATTAGCGATAGGTATCGATCATCCCAGACTGGGGCTTTTAAAAGCCCCATCGGATGAGGCCGTTTCCGACGCCGCACGGGGGCGGAGTGGCCAGTTACGGCGAGTCGCCAAGAAGCGAACTTCCCGATCCCACTCCCCACGATTGAGAGAACAGGGATCGATTTTTTTTTCTTTCACTACCTTTTCATTAATCAAATATTCTTTTCAATTTTTTAGACATTAAATTAGAATATCTAGATCCAAGAAATAGGAGGGACTTAGTCAATTCACTCGGGCCCCCCTTAGTCACAGAATCCGCTCTCTTGCTCTTCCTTCCTTCCCTGCCTGCCGGGCACTAGCTGCCGCTTCAACTCTTTCATTCCCATCTCTTGCTGCTCTTCCCGTCACTTTGACCTGCCGCCATTACGACCCGTCTTTTCTCCTCTCCAAGTACCTCCTTCCCCGGACTCCTATAGCCCACTACACTTCCTCTGGCAATGATCGTTTTGGTTTTGGTTTTGGCTATGGGCTTTGTCTATTCACCTTGAAAACCCTTATACCCAACTTGCCACTACACCATACGTGAACTCTTTTGGTTAAAAAACAATACATTTTAGAACATCGGTACGTGAATTCAGCTTAGCAGAGCCTAGGGTTAAGCAAGATGCCACGAACGACCACTGTGGAGTGTCCCGGCTGCCCTCCGCTTCGAGCCCTAACCTTCGACGCTCTAGGTCTCATCAAAGGTTGTGATAATGGCTGCCCTGCTGCTAATGCCACGGATTGAATTTATAAAACTGGATAATGATTGCTTTTTTTTTTGTTCGTTTGCTTATCTCAGTCACAGAGTCTCGAGGCAACAGCGGAGGAATTCCTCAGGTGGTGGAAAGATGGGGGGATGCCGATTCCTCAAAGTGCGTGCTTGCTGCCTCTATTGATGATCGTGCAAACGACCCAGTATGTTGTAAAAACTGTAGCTTCTTCTTGGGTTTTCAAGTTCTGATTTTTAGTAGCTTTGCTGGTTCTGGGGATTGTTGTGCTTGCTTCTCTGTTGCACTTATCATCTCTTACACCTTTGACTGTTTAGTTTTCCATTCTCTGCAGATACTAGCTGTTGCGAGGAAAAATGGCACTGTGAGTTACTTCATTAGTGCTGTCTGGCTTTGAGAATATGGTATCGTGAAAAGTATTTTCCCTAGTTCTCTACTTACCCGGGCTTCATATGTAACAGATTGAAATTTCCAATCCTCTTAGTGGTGACATTTTTGTGTCCATATCTGATTTCGGTGACGGTGATGGTCACCCTGAAGATGATGATATTGCTGGTTTACATATATTCAAGAAGAGCAGATCGGTGGGGTATGTGCGCTTAGTGATAAATAGTGTCATTCCAGTGCTCATCATGTGTACAGTCACAAGCAACTATCTTGGTAATATGCTCACTGTTGGTTTGTAGATCATGCTCTTTGCTTACATGTACAACCAAAGGCAATGCAAGTTTGAGGTCAGTCGACATTGCACCTACAGAGAGCACCAACAATGGTGCCTCTAATTCGTGGAAAGTTTGTGCTGCTGGTAAGGTCTTATGTGCTAAAGTCCATGGAAGTGAAAAACATGCTTTATTTGGAGGGTAAGTGCATTCGCTGTCTGACTATCTGCTTTTGGCTTGTATTTCTCAAATCTTGAAGAAACTAAGTTTTCCTTCAATTCAGGAAAGGCGTTGAAGTTAATTTGTGGGATCTTGAGAGCTCTACTAAGATTTGGGCGGCAAAACCTGTGAGTTATATGCATTTCTTTCTCTAATTACAGGTTATAGAGAAAGGCCTGTGTTTATTCACTCATTTCAAGTGTGTTTTCCTAAAGCAATTCAATTCCTACCTCTTTACAGCCTCCCAAAAACAGCCTTGACATCTTTACCCCAACATGGTTTACCTCTGCAACATTCCTGACTGGGGATGATCACCGGAAGTTTGTGGCTGGCACCAACAGCCACCAGGTGAATTTTCATTATAGCTATTACTTTTTTCTGGAACAGTTGATAAGATTCAGATTAGATGCTCTTCTAGATCATGATGGACAGGCAATATAAGGTTTTACTGTGTTACGATATGTCCATACTGAACTGAAATTGTGTTAACTTTACTGTCGTCTAATATATTGTTTATTAAATAGGTCCGTGTCTATGATACTTCTGCTCAACGCCGACCTGTGATCTCTTTTGATTTTCGGGAGACCCCTATTAAATCAGTTGCTGAAGATCATGATGGTTATACTATTTATGCGGGGAATGGCTCTGGTGATCTTGCGTCTATCGACACCCGCACAGGTACTTTAATGCGTGGGCCATCATATTTGATTGATCTCTGGTGATACTTTAGGTGTTTAAAAGCATTACTTCGATTGCCTCTGTTGCTATTTTTTGTTTAACGGTTCTTTTCTGTAATTTTTTTTCGACAGGAAAATTATTGGGTTGCTTTCTGGGGAAGTGTTCTGGAAGCATAAGATCCATAGCCCGACATCCAGATCATCCGGTGATAGCATCATGCGGTGAGTGATAATGCTTGTGGCATATTAGTAACTGAGACTAGTGATTCAGTACAGCGATCAAGTTTTTTTCTGCGTTGGTTCTCCCATCGTTCTGTGTTCTCGAGTATCGATTACTTAACTGCTTTTGCGCTTTTTAGGTCTTGACAGCTACTTGCGTTTGTGGGATGTGAAAACAAGAGAACTTCTTTCAGCTGTAAGTTTCCCGTCCCACAGCCCCCTCCCTCACAACCCCCCTTGGGCACCTCCTTTTTCTTATTATTTCCATTTAGTTTTAATTACTGCACAATTTCTATTGCTTTCACAAATCTTTTGGCACCTGGCTAATTTGTCTACAAATAATTCTTGCATGACGCAGACTTTCCTGAAACAGCATCTCACATGTGTCGTCTTTGATTCCAATTTTTCTGACAAAGGTTAGTGCTCGTTCTTTAGTTTGATAGAGTCTGCTGGGAGAATTAGCATTAGTATTTGCATCATCATCTAGGACAGGAGAAGATTGTGAAGCGAGCATAGAACTTGATCATGGAGAAGTTTGAGTGTTACTTGAGTATCCATGCATGCAACTAACTAGTTTACTAGCTAGGTGAGTCAACTAATCAAGAATACTCTTCTTAATACGTGTTTCACAAGCAGAAGTAGTAGCTCCTGATGCACAGCACGCGGATGAGATCCCAGAAGAAGTTGAGCAGGAAGCTTTGAAGCCTGCAAAGAGAAAAAAGTCCCCAGAAGAAATGAAAGGCAAAAAGAAGAAATCTAAGGATGATGGAAGCAAGAAATCCAGGAAAAAGAGCCGCCAGATGGAGAGCGAGGAGTGTGATGTTCGTAATACAGTAGTGTTTGATATCCAGCACGTTAATGTAAAGCTTGTTACTTCGTTTTGATCGTGAGTTTTCAAAATATACAGGTGGTTTTGAGCTAGATAGATTGCTAAAATATATTGCTTAGAAGGATGTTTGAATACCCATGAACTGAACTTTCAAATTATACAACTTGTTCTCTTTCTTTACCACTTCTTGGGCGTCACTGTGATTCTCCTTTCTTCCCCATTTTTTGGTTGTCGGTAAGTCAAAGTGTGGCGGCTCTGTTACCCCTATCGAGCAGAACTCGGATTCTCCAGGGCGAGATGGTAATTGTTCAAGAGCCATGAACTTCGTAAGTGGCAGTTCAGTTTGGTTAACCGAATTGACAACCCATTACAAAGAGCATTGCAGCTAACCTACCATTTTCAGTAAATCAGATGAAGTATTTCCTAGATCCTGTCCAAAAATCAGGGTACCGGGTTCATCGTCACCATCGTAAACTTTTCTATTACAATAAAGTAAAACCAAGCACTTCCAAAACATTCCTAAACAGCTACCGAAGACGGTTTTACAGTGAGAATGAAGAAGCAGAGAAGGGATATCCTCGGAGGCTACAACAACACGTTGCAGCGTCATCCTTGGCTCACAAGATAGCTGCAGCTCACTCATCGTGACGATCCTCTGCATTTGTTACGTAGATGCGCCGTAGGGGCGGAATTCTACGTACTGGATCTTTACTTCTCCAGACTTTAGGATACGCTTCTCGACGCTCTCGAGTAGAGGATCTCCTTAATGGCGAGAACAACCCCAAAAGAACTAACAAACTACTAAATTGAACGAAAGAAATAATCAAAGCAAACAAACATAAATTGGGTTCCAATCTTCTCATACTATTATTCATAGACAATGTCTCTATTTATAGAGTTACACAACCAAATCCCATTCCTTCTCACCCAAGGCTTGAGCCTCTCTCCTTATCCTTATCCTACTAGAATTCCCTTTCTTCCCTTACAAGAAACATTAATTAAATACTAACACATCTCCTAATCCAACTAGAACGACTATTATAATAATTAATAATAATATTCCCAAATGTAGACTTAATACGAACTAATAAGAAAAGATACGCAAGCCCAGTAATTAATGAAATGTTACGATGGCTCGATCTCGTAACAGCATTCAAATGAGAATTCGGTAACATCGACAACAAGCTCTGTTTGTAAATATGCCAGTTGATTGTTCTCCCATAATTCGACACCAAAACTCTATATTTTCTGCTACCAACATCATGCAATACAAGTTGATCATCATCCCCAAATAGAGGTTGAGCGATTAGTTGATCACGCTTTCAGAATCCATCCACATAAAGCCTTTTGGGGAAAGGGCCGAGCCTCGAATGCTTGATCCAACTCCACTGTCCATTGCTACCGCTCAACAACCATACATCAACACTGTAGTAGTGCAACTCTGCCTTAACCAAAGCCACTGAATCACCAGATATGCCGACCTTGCAGTTTGCTCCAATACAATGAAAAGGGCAGTCTATCTTAAGTGACCAGGTTCTACATGGTTGTTGTAGAGCCAGTAAAAGAACCCATTGTAAGTGTTGGGTATACGACTCGGATCTCGCCGCGCCAAGGAAACACCTCAACGGCGCTCCCATAAGAGTCAGGCGCGCCAGCACTGACATGATCAAGAACCGCGCCCGAACACCGAACGACGACGTTTGGGTCAGATGTTGACCTTGACCAGGAAACCATGAAAGCGACGCCGCATCCCTTAAAGAGTGGTCACCATCATGGTCCTAGGTATAGTCATGGGTTAAATGTCCTTTCCTAGGTAGGGATGTGGCCTAAGCCTCTGACATGTCAGGGGTCACATAACCATGTAACTCACCCACCACCATGTAGCCTATAAATATGGCATTTACTCTGGTGGGTGAGGGGATCAAATTTTTGGAGACTCTATCTCTAAACTATCAACTTCTCTCTCTAAGATATTACTCTCCCAGCCTCACTTCTCCCTTGCCTTTGTTCTTGAATCCATAACTGATTCTTGTTTGCTCACTCTCCTTTACCCGTTTTCCCGAGCCACCCTCCTACACTCAGTGAGACTCAAACAATTGGCGCCCACCGTGGGGCAAAGTAGAGAAGCAGCAGCAAATCAACCAATGGCAGAACATAACCCCAACTCGCCTAACGAAGCAACACCCATCAAGGCAATGACAAACCCAAAGGCGTTTGCGGAATCCAGCAGCCTCAACGCGGTGCTCATTGAAGAAGAGGAGCCCGAGCTGACGGCCAAAGAAATGAGGCAACTAATGGCGAAGCAAAACGACGTCATATCCAATATGCAAAAACAAATGAGCTAGGTTATGGCGCTCATGATGAGCAAGGAGGGCGCGACGATAGCAGGCGTGTCGGCGGTCGCGCCACAACAAACAGCAGCAGGGGAAGCATCAGGAACTGCCCTCCTACCACAACAAGCGCCGGTCGAGTTGCACGTCGGCGAAACACAACGAGCCGAGTTACCAGGCAGAGCGGACCTCAGCTTCCTAGAGAAACACTTATCCCCGCAATACCGCCACAACCCTCCCAACAGAGCCCTCCACCAACCGCTAAGCGCGAAAATCATGGCGGAGCACCTAAGCGGAATGCCACCCGCCCTCCCAACGTATAACGGAACAACCGATCCGGAGGACCATGTCAGCACCTTCTGCCTGCGGATACAACTTCAAACCAATTCCAACGAAGCGCTATGCAGAACCTTCCCATCAATATTTTCTGGAATATGCCTCGATTGGTATAACAGACTCCCCAATGGAATCATCCGCTCGTTCGAAGAATTCATACTCTTGTTCACAACCAAATTCGCGTCCCAAAAAAGAAGGCCTCTCCACCTAAATGCATTTATAGACATCAGGCAAAAAGACGGATAAAGCCTACGAGCGTTCTACGCCAGGTGGTCCAGGGTGGCAATGGTTGTGCGAGATCTGACCCCCAAAACCGCCGCCCATCATCTCATGGATGCCACCACCAACATGGAGCTCAAACGAGCGCTAGCAAAAAGACCAGTCACGCTGTCGACAGAGCTAGAGGTCAAATCGAGAAGGCCATCACGCTAGAAGAGACCCTAGGCGCGGGCTCTGTAAGGCGCTTTGAGCCCGCAAAACCGGCCAGAGAAGACCAAGGGCGGAAGCAGCTCCCGATACCACGAGAGCAGTTGGTACAGTTACACAGCGGCCCGAAGCGCCCACCCCCCCCCCTCGGCAAGAACAAGCGCAGCGGGGACGATCACCGGACAGGCGCCCACCGAACACCTACACGCCCCTCAATGACTCGGTAAAAAACGTGTTTCTCGTACTCCGCGAGAAGGGTTACAAAATCAACTGGCCCGCGCCCTTGAGGGGCTTGCCTCACATGCGCGATCCAAAAAAACGTTGTGACTTCCATAGGGAGACGGGACACTGGACAGAGGATTGCAGAGAGTTGCGCTATGAGATCGAGGGCCTCATACGAAGGGGACTACTGACTGAGTTCATCCGCGGGAAGGAAGAACAGGTAGAGCAGCCCTAAAATCCGCCACCACCCCCGCAAGCCGACTACAACGAGGCTACCGGCTCGTATGTAGTGCGAAAAGAAATAGGGGTGGTAACAATAGAGGGAGACCAACCAAAGAAAAAAACCAAGCGCGAGCGCGCAATGGAATGCGCGACATCCGAAGTACAGACAAGGTGCAACCTAAGCTTCGATGACGCTGAATTCCCACAAGGGATCCCGTCAGAAGACCCACTAACCATCACCGCGTTGGTGGCCGCCTGCAAAATTCACCGCCTACTGATAGACGGGGGCAGAGCCGCGGACATCCTTTTCAAAAGCACCGTTGACCAAATGGACATCGATCCGCGGCTAATCAAGCGCGCACAGGGAAACTTGGTAGGGTTCTCCGGGACAAGGGTTCCAGTTATTGGCGTGGTCACCCTTCCAGTGGTAATCGGAGACCAAGAGCTGCGCGTTTCCAAGCAAGTCGAGTTCATAATAGTCTACTGCGAATCGCCTCACAACGGCATCTTTGGCCGACCATTTCTAGCCAAGTTCATGGCTCTCACATCGACGTGTCACCAGAAACTTAAATTCCCCACCAAGGCAGGGACCGGAGAGGCGCACGGGATGCCATGGGAGAAGCGCGGAGAAGTACGCCAAACCAACATCGTTGACACAAGGGCAGAGGAACCTCGCCTAGAATCTATGGATTCCGATTTTGAAGTCGCGATTGACCCAACCGAGCCGACAAAGAAAATACGCATCTCGACTCATATCCACGGTGACGCGATTGAGCCGTTGATAGCGCTGCTAAAGGAGTATAAACCTGGTGCACAGAGGACATGGCGGGAGTTCCGAGGCAAGTAGCTCAACATTGCCTCGCAGTTCCAATCAACGCGGAACCGAGACAACAAGCGCGACAGAGCTTTACAGGCGACAAGCTGAAGGCCATAGAAGAAGAGGTTGCGCGACTATTAGCAGCATGATTGATCCGCCCAGTAAAATATCCGAAGTGGTTGGCAAACGTGGGCTTGGTGAAAAATTCTTCAGGGGCCTGGCGAATGTGCGTCGACTACACAACGATCAACAAAGTGTGCACAGGAGACCCTTACCCCTTGCCGCGCATTGACCAACTGATTGACGTCACCGCCGATCACGAGACACTGTCTTTTCTAGACATGTTCTCAGGGTACCACCAAATCCCAATGTCTCGCGAAGATGAGGAAAAACGGCCTTCATGACGCCATTTAGAAATTTCTGCTTCGTCGGAATGCCGTTCGGGTTGAAGAATGCGGGCGCGACATAACAAAGGATGATCGACTCGGTGTTCTCACAACAGATAGGGCGGAACATTGAGGCGTATGTGGATGACCTCATCGTTAAAACCAAAGCATGAAATTCACATTTGGAAGATCTGCGCGAGACGTTCGAGGCGCTCCGCAAACACAGCCTCCGCTTAAACCCACTGAAGTGTGTTTTCGGGGCAGAAGCTGGGAAGTTTCTCGGATTCATGATAACCAAGCGCGGCATTGAAGTTGACCCAAAACAGTCCAGCAGCTGCGGGCGCCAAGGAGCGTGTTGGAAATTCAATCCTTGAATGGCAAGATAGCGGCGCTAGGAAGGTTCATACCAAGGTCAGCCGACAAGTGTGCGCCTTTCTTCAA